ATGAGGGGGAGGCCGCGGGATGGGCATGTGGGGGGGTCAGCGAGGCCGCGGGGTGGACACGCCATGAAGGGGAGGCCGCGGGGTGGGCGCATGCTGGGACACCAGCCCCTTCCCCAGAGCAGGGCCGCCCTCCACCCCCAGCCCCGCTATAGGCCTGCGCTGGTTGGCGGGTGGATGCTCCTGAGCCCTTTCACCTCACAGGGAGGCTGCCCCGTCACTATGTCCCGGGCTGTCATCCTGATGGACCCTGAAGCCGGAGCAGGGCCTGGTGGACTCAGGGTCACTTTCCCCGGAAACTCTGTGCCCACAAGGCCACGCCTCCTAGGCGACTCCAGTCCCCAGCTCCGGACCACCTGACCCCACCTCCTCAGTGTCCCTCCTAGAGCTGCCAGTCTGTTGACATAATACAAAGTAGTGCTGATGCAGGAGCAATGATTTTCTAAATTACTACCTAACTTGGGAGGAACCAGAGAGCATTATGCTGAGTGAACTAACTCAGTCCCATAAGGACAAATACTGTATAAAACCATTACTGTAGAATGAGTATGGGGATGCTGGGGGGGGGGAAGGATGAAAATAGAGGGGTGTGGATGGGGGGTAGGGTGTTAATCATGTTGTTGTTATGCACCATCAAGTCACTTGCAACTCATAGTGACCCTATCTATGTATAAGAGCCCTAAACCCTGCTCTATCCTATGTCAATCTCATTGTCTCAAACACACCTACTCCCGTTACTCCAGTCACTGATCAGTCCATCTCATTGAGGGTCTTTCTCTCCTGCACTGTCCCTCCACTCTGCCAAACATGACATCCCTCTCCAAGGACCAGTCCCTCCTTTCAACATGCCCAAAGTATGTCAGACAGAGCTTCAGAATCCTTGCCTCCAAGGAACAGCCTGGTCTCACCTTCTCCAGGAAAAACCTGTTTGTTCTCCTAGCAGTCCATGGTATATTCAACACTCTTCTCCAGCACCACAGCTCAAAGGCATCAACTCCCTTTCTATCATCCCTCGTCACTGTCCAGCTATCTAACGCATAACATGCAATTGTGAAGACTATGGCCCAGATCAGGTGCACCTTAGTCTCCAGCCTGACTTTGCTCTTCAGTACTCTTGAGAGGTCCCTCAGAGCTGACTTTCCCAATGCAATTAATCTCTTAATTTCCTCACTGCTGTTATCAAGTGTTGACTGTGGAGCCAATTAAACTAAAACTGTTAACTATCTTAAACCTCTTCACCATCCATACTGATGCTGCCAATTGGCCCAGTGGTGAGAATCTTTGTTTTCTTGATGTTGAGTTTCAATCCATATAGAAGGCTGCAGTTCTTGATCTTCTGCAGCAAGCGCTTCAGGTCCTCCTCAGTTTCAACAAGCAGGGTTCTGTCATCTACATAACAAAAGTTGTTGATGAATCTTCCTCCAATCCTAATGCCACATTCCCCCTCGTTCAGCCCAGCGTCCCGGATGATCTGTTCTGTGTACAGACTCAAAAAGTATGGAGACAGAATACATCCCTGGTGGACACTCTTCCTGATTTTAAACCATCCAGTGTCTCCTTGATCTGTTCTGACAACTGCCTCTTGACTCAAGTATGTTTTGCATAAGCACAATCAAATGTTCTGGATTCCCATTTCCCTCAGAGTCAACTAGTTTGGTGGGATCCACACAGTCAAAAGGCTTTGCATAGTCAATGAAGCACAGACAGACATTCTTGTGGCATTCTCTGCTTTCAGCCAAGATCCATCTAACATTAGCTACAATATCCCTAGTACCACGACCCATTCTAAGCCCAGCCTGCACATCTGGCAGTTCTCTGTTGATGTGTTGCTCCAGTCGTTTTGGGATAATTTTCAGCAGAATCTTCCTTGCATGTGTTATCAATGATGTTGTTCAATAATTTCCACACTCTGTTGGGTCACCTTTCTTTGGAATGGGAACAAATATCGATCTCTCCCAGTCAGTTGGCCAGCTGGCTGTCCTCCAGATTTCTTGGCACAACTAAGCACATCCAGGGCACCGTCTTTTTGTTGAAATAAATCAATTGGTATGCTGTCAACTCCTGGAGCCTTGTTTTT